AGTAAATTTGATGTTAGGGTGAATGGAATTTATGTGTTTAAAGAAAGTTAGTGTATGTTCTGTAGAGTTGAAACCAGCAAAAGTGTCATGACATATCTGTACCAGTATAGTGGGGGATGAAGCGCAGAATGTATGGCTTATGTTTCGATTTTGGTCATGAATATATTGGCAAGAACGTGCGAAACAGGATTGCCCATACTTAAATCGTCTATTTGAAGGAAATGTTTGTTGTTGAAAATGAAGTTCATATCTTTTAAAACCACTTGTAGGCTCTTTCCTGTTTGTTTCTAAGTAGCATATTTATAACAGCAAAGTTAAAGATAGAACTAAACCACTGTTGATGTTTTCATAAGCACAACATTGATAGTGAAGTTCAGTGTGATATATTTTTTGCTGATGAATTATGAACATCATGACACAAAGTTGAAGGCTTAATGTTTGTAAAGTTTGCACAATATTTGCATAAATAGTATTGTAAAATATTCTTTACATTGTTTACTGTATATGTAGTTTTTCAACATTTAGAATTTTATAAAAAGAAGCTTTAATTAATTTTTACAAAATGGTACCATATCCAACCATGACCTTTATTTATGTTGAAATTTCTTGTAAGATTTTTTAGTTGAGAACAAAGCTAGTATATGTTTTCTAATTTCTATTAATATTTCTGTACATGGTATCTCTGTATTTCTAGGTTACCAAAAACAGACAGCAATTAATTAGCACTTGAATACCTGGTGCAGTAAGTATTCTTTGATGAGTAAATGTGATAGTGACAAAAGGACATAATAAAATCCACGAACTTCAATAGTTAATGGTTGATACAGCTTTTCCATCCTATTTACAGTTTGGGATCTCTTCATAGGGTAATTTATATAAAGCCCTAATAAACCAAGAGCCAGACTACATGTTTGTTCTTTCTTGATGATCAGACCTGAAGTAGCTAGAAATTCATACTTCTTGACTTTTTTAACATAGAAATAACATAATGCAGGGACATTATACATATTTTAATATATAACTCAGTAAAAATAACAGTGTAGAAACACTAACTACATATTTCTTCTTTATGATAAAATAATTGTTTACAACAGGTTTTAATGTTTATTTGTTCAGTTTATTCATCATTTCAGATATGTTTGGTCGCATCTCTGCATCACAAAGAGCTATTACCTTATGCTACTACCATGAAGATATTTGTGCACACCACAAGCCTTGAACAAAGCTCCCATCCCTACATGTATTCACATGTATTGTGACAGCCTAGATGTAATCATTATTAGACTAGAGCTCTCCACCAATGGGAGGGTGACACACCATTCATGTACAGTAATTTCCATGAGTAGTAGCACATGAACCAAAACTCACTTTCCCTGGCACTGTTTTATTCAGACATATTTTTTTCTTGGAAGTACTCTAGTTTACTTAATATTTGCAGGAATTGTCTTTCACGGTTTTACATTGAAACTTGTTTCACAAGTTTTAACTTTTGTGGAAAAATGAAATTGAGAATGCATCAATTTTCCATGACATACACTTAGAAAAAGGGTTTTAGACATCATTCTGTTTTTCTAATAAGTAATATTTTTCATACTATAAGACTTTGCAATCATGCTATGAATAAAAAATGTACTAAATGTTTAACTGAAAATAATTTTGGCCTTTTTGTATACACCATGAAATGGTGACCCCCCCCCCCAAAAGGCTAATTTCTCAGTATTTTAACTTGAACTTTAAAATGTAAAATATAGACATTGTAAACTATTGAAATATTTAGTAGTATAGTAGGATAATAGAAGATTAAAGAGGTTTTAAAACTAGTTAAGTCTGATAAACATATATTTTCACTTATTTTCTTTGTATTTTTTTATCATTTAAAAACAATAAATAGTAACTGTTGATTATTAATTTGTGTATGGCTGGTATTTTATAATGTATCATAGTCGTGTGTGTTGTACTTTTTGTCTCAAATTATTGGTTTTTTTATCTCTAAAGGAAAATTAACTGTTCTTCAAGTCTTGTTTTAGAAGAAATATTTTTTTTCTTTCTTAGTTGGCTTTATTGAGCTTCAACAGAAAGGAAACAGCCTGGATTTTGCTACAGCTACCACTGCATCAAAGGTTTCTTCTGGTAGTGGTCTCAAAGAACTTGAGTCTGCAGTTTATAAAAAAGTATCTGCTTAAAAGGTGCTTACTAAAGCATTGTGTGGTCATGGGTTCATCTGAAGGTCATTCTACACAGATGACAACCATGACAGTTACAAACATGTCTTCAGACAAAACTTGTTTGTGCTTATTAAATACAGAACCTGAAAAATATGACAGCTGTCATTGCAAAAAAATAACTTGGGATGGTGCCTCTTTTAAAACCACTGATAAAATGGAAAAATCAATGATAAATCTAATGCATGATGTAGCCAATATGCAGCTGGCATCCTTACAAGAGAAAGATTATCAAATTACTTACAAACAGGACAGTCAAAGTGAGATGGAGCCAAAACATTGTGCTGAAAAAAGGTATGTCAAAAATTAGAGAAACAAGCCAATGAGAATGATTCACAGTTTTCAACTTTACAGAAAATGGTCAAATCTTTTGGAGAAGAAGAAGTAAATACTTTGTTTCACATACCAACAACAGCTTCTAGTTCTCTGAATTCTGATAATCACACAGACCTGCATAAAGATCGCTGCATCAAAGAAACCAATTCAATTTGTACTGTAACATTAAGTGATGTGTGTGAAGTACCATCTACTGTGTCACCAAGTATTAATGAAGATGCTGGCATTTGTATGGAAATTCTAGGCCATAATGGCAAAATTAATTCAGATTTATACAGTGACTCAAATTGCACAGTGACTAATAATAAAATAGATTTATCTTCCACTCCCATTATTGTAACTAGAGAGACCAATGAATTTGGAGGTATAAGCAGCCATGTTTGTACTGAACCCTTGGTTTTAGATGATACTAGACATCTGAATCATGCAGTGAGAATGACAGACAGTCCTCATCATGGGGCTTTTTCTGATGCTCAGAGTGAGGTAGGATAATGTACATCAGTGAGATTGTTGATTTAAATGGAACATATTGCAAAGGTCGATGTATGCAAATATAAATTGTACTATATTGATTACCTGTGTTAAAAAAAAAAATACTATTTTTTATCACAAGGTTTTCCTTCACCTTAATACAAGCATTGAAAGGATGTTTCATTTTTGAGATTGGTAAATAAAATGTTCTAAAAATAACGACTTCTTGGAAAAGTCAAGACGTTAAAGATTTACTTACAGGTTGAAATTAGTCCACTTATTTAACAGTTTTTTTATTAAATGCATTTTAAAAAAGTTGCTTTCTAAACATGAAAATCAGTTACTGCATAAAAATTATATGGTTAAAGTGTTCATTATTTTGTACATAGTTACTCTGCATTGTATATGAGTGGTTAATCTTTTTTGATTTTGGGTTTACAATGAAATAAAATTTTTTTTTATGTAAGCATGCAATTTTGTTGCAATTTTAAGATACAGAATAAAACCAGTAGTAAGTAGACTCAAATCTACAAGGTTATCCACTTCAATTTGTTTATGATTTAATCTTAAAATGTAAATCTCTTTAAGTAATACAGTTTTTTGTAAGAGAAGTTAACAAAAAAAATGCCAATAGAAAATTCATTGAGGCTTAGTTCACAGCTCAAAATTGTCAATTACATTTATGTGGTCAGTGTTTTATACTTTCAAAGAGTTCTGCACTTCTACCTAGTATCATTACAGGGATAAATAACTTATTAGTTCATATTTTCATAAAATTTAGATGTATTCTTTATTACACGTTTAGATCAATATGAAGCAACACTGTCTAATAGGTTATTTTTTAATAATGTCTTGAAAGAAAAAACAAATTATTGTAATGATTATCTGGTGCATAAGATGAGTCACAGCTTTGTCATTATGTATACATGTACAAGTGTAAAAGTGCTTTTTGTTAATTCTTACCTGTGTTTTATGTAGGGATGATGCAAATGCCATCCTTACATGTACTTTTTTTTTGTAAAAGGTTTTTCTTTACTTGTTAGCTATATTCTTGTGCGCCAGTAATACCAAGCACGGGGTGAGCCTATCCATGATTTTATTTTATTGCTCATCAGGATCTCTACCAACCTACCCTCAAATCTAATTATATGCACATCTGTTTTATGTGTATAAGATGATACTTATAAAAGTGGGTACTTCATTTAAAACTACACCACTTCAGTGAAATTGATTGAAACCATTGTTTTGGTTTTTAAGTTTAAAAAAATGACAAAAAGAAGAACAAGAAATTAAGACTTTTTGCTATGATATTTACAGACATTGCCAGAACTTGTGACACAGTAATTACATAGATACTGTTATAAAAGGAAATACTGCATAGTATTGTCATTTTCCAAAATGGTACTACCTCCACTATTTGACCTCTAGGCATTGATAAATCATATGAACAATGCACTAGTCTTTTATAACCCTATATTTTTTGCATCATTGCAGCAACTTGGTGATGATGTGACCACCCTCCAATTGCATTGCACCCTCTATACTAGTGCAGCACTTTCTCGATTTGTGCTACAGTGCTCAGATGTGTGTTTTTAGTTGTTCATTTAGTAGTTCCTTTCCGGTTTTTTTTTTTTCAAAAACCATATATACTTATGAATTTGAATTTTCATGTGGCGGATAAAGAAGTTCCTGCCTATATGGACGAAACTCATTTCACTAGCCCTAGCACGGCGAGTTGCCTATGCTGCCTGAGAAGATTCGGGCATTAATTCAGTGGGAGTTGGATGCTTTTGCTGGTTCTTCTGCTCATTTACCCTTCCTCCAGGACCATGCTTCTGAGGAAGTTTTTCATCAGGGGGAGGACAATTTTCAACTCGGTTTTTCTACCCTGGTTTTTTCAGCCAGTCACATAATGCTGACAGTCTGCCAACCATGCCTTTCTTACACCTTATTGATCAGGTTTGTCAAATTTTATGTCTCCCCTTTAGCCCATGATTCTCCTACTTCTTCCTTGCTGGGTGAAGACCCTCATTCCGATTCTTATTATATTTTTCCTTTTCCCGACATTCTTGTTCATGCTCAACATTTTGCTGCTTAATTACAGTTGGGAGTGGGTATGCCTCCTCTCTCTTGACTTTTGGACCAATTCTCTTTTGCTTACCAACGTGCCTCAAATCCCTATTTGTATTCTCAGCATTTAGATTCTCATCTTTCCTTGTGGGGTTCTATTCCTGATTCCTTGGTTCATTTTAATAGGTCCCAGTTTACTACAATTTGAATTACATTGACCTATCTTTTACTTGTTCTTTTCTTTTTACAGTTGTTGTCTCAGGCCTTCTACCAGTCTCCTGATCAGTTCTCGGCTGATCTCAGGACCCTTCTGTGGTCTACTATGGCCCAGTTGTTGACTTCAGCCTTGGCTCTTACCACTTGGATTTTGTATTGTTGAGATTTATGCTGGAGGGATGCATTATTTGCTGAGGTACATCTTCCCTTTGTCATTACAGGAACTTCGTCGGGCCCCATTTCTGCTCGAAACAATCTTTAAGGGTTTTCCTGAGTCTTTGGAGTCCAGTGTCAATGTGGTGAGATTGCATTTTGTTTGTCCTCAACCTACTGATTTGCTCAATCTTTGCCTGTTTGAGTGCCCTGTGCTCCTTCTTCTTTGCCCCACTCTTTTCTCTACTTCTGACATTCCCTTCCTTACGCCCGTTCCTCTCAGCCTCACCATTATCGGTGATGGGATTTCTTCCCACGGGCAATTGGGTGCCAGGTTACAACTCGTTTCCGTCAGCTGGAAACCCTTCACGATGAATCCATGGGTGTTACAGGTTCTGTCAGGGGGTCTATCCATTCAATTTTGGTCCCCTCCTCCCCTGTCCTCTTTCCCAGTTTCTTTTCCTCCTCCTTGGGATCGTGTCTTGTCCAGTCGTCTATTGGAATTAGTTCTCAATCTTCTTCACAAGGGTACTGTAGAAGGTGTGGTGCCTGTTCGTTTGGGTTTTTACTCCTATCTGTTTGTTGTCCACAAAAAGAAGAGAGATTGGAGACTTATTATCAATCTGTCCCACTGAATGCCTTTTTGAAGATACCCTAATTCATCCTACCTTTCTCTTCAATGGGTTTTTTCTCCCGGGTCTTTGGATGATCAGATTAGACATGATAGATGCTTACTTTCATATCCCCATTGCTCAGGAGTCACATTGTTATCTTCCGTTTGTCCACAGAGAGGATGTGTTCCAGTTCTGACCACTACAGTTTGGTCTTGTCTCTGCTCCTATGTGTTTTGTCGGGTTGTCCATACCTTTGCTTGTCATCTTCATTCCTTGGGTCTTCGAACTCATCATTACATAGACGACTGGCTTCTTCTTGCCTCTTTCTGAGTCCAATCTGCTAAACACACCTGTTTCCTTCTTTGGGAGTCTGCTCGGGTGAGGTTTCTCATCAAGGTGGAGAAGTCCTTTTTCACTCCCACTCAATACCTCATTCCTCTGGGTGTCCTCTTCAAATCCTCTCTGAGTTGGGCCCAGCCTTTTCTTCGGCTCCTGGATATGGAACGAGCAATCACTCGGGCTTTGTTTTCACCTTCTCTTCCTGCTCAAGAGGTTCTCTCTCTTTTGGGAACATGGGCTTCTCTGGAAGCTCTCAATCCCTTGGGGCGAGCACATGTGTTCTCTTTAGTGGATGCTTCTAGACCAGTGGAACTTCTCCAGTGATCCCTTGGATCATCCTACTACTCTTCCACCAAGGATCAAGGCTGACCATGTTTGGTGACTTGGCAGGGCTTTTACTACAGTGGGGGTTTCTTTTCCTCTGCCTCGTCCCAACTCGCATCTGTTCACAGATGCTTCTTTGGTTAGTTGGGAGGCTTCCCTAAACTCTCGGGTGATTTCGGGTGAGTAGTCCTTCAAGGAATCTATTTACCATATCAATCACTTGGAGCTGTTGGCTGTTCATCAGGCTCTCACTTATTTCCTCCCACTCTTACAAGAGCTGGTGGTTATGGTTCATTCTGACAATTCAACTGTTGTCAGTTATATCTCCAAACAAGGGGGTACCAAGTCCAGGACCCTGTGTTTTCTCACACTTGACCTTTTATACTGGGCTCACAGCTACAACATCACACTCATGGTGTGTCCTGGTTCAGGTGATATAAATTTGGTTGCAGACCATCTATCCCGCCAGGGATTCCGTCCTTCCCGTCATTCAGTTTCTCTCTTGTCCGGGTTCTTTACCTGGTTATATGATCAAGGTTTGGCTGTGTCCACTTTTCTAGTTGTTGTACTGCTCTATCCCACACTTTTTGCTTCTCCTGTTTCATAGGTACTTCTCACCTGCTATATCTATTCTTTTCTGTTCTATTCATATTGTTTGTCCACCCATTTGATTTATGCTTCAGAATTGGGATCTCAATGTATTTCTTCATGCCCTTGCCCATTCTCCTTTTGAACGTGTTGCTAAGTGTTCTTTGTCTCACTTATCCCTTAAGACCTGTTTCCTTCTCCTCATTAGTGGTCATTGTTGTTCTGATATTTCTGCTATTAATGTTTCCTGCACACTTTACCATGCTTCTTATGTTCTCCTTTATCCCAATCGTTCCATCTCAAGACATCTGCTGCTTATGAGGGTTGTTTTGCCTTCTCTCCTCTTTCCCTCCCTTCTATTTCCCATTTACACTTTCATTCTGATCCCGATCGTCTTCTTTGTCCTGTCTGTTCCCTTCATTGTTATATGTCTCGAACTGAATCCTTTTGGGTTCCCGTTCTTGCCATTTTATACACTGGAATCCCTATGTTTCCCGTGATCTTTCTCCTGTTATCTTTACTGGCTGGGTTTGGCAACTCATCCACCTATCCTATTCTGTCTTCTTAATGGAAGATTGTTGGCTGTTTAATGTGTCTTCACACCAGATATGCCATGTTCCTTTGTTTCTAGCTGCACAGATCTGCTGTTCTTTGGAGGAGATTATACAAATGGGAATGTGGACAACTCACAATGTGTTCATCGCACAT